ATTTTAAAAAATTTTGCACTTAAAATTGAAAAAATTAGTTCAAGTTTTTTGCCTAAATTGTTATTTTTCATATATGACGAACGTTACTCGATCGCTTTACTTGCTCGAAAGAAGATGAAAAATCAAAAGCTTCAAACCGTTCACTCTCGACACAGGAAAAAATTTTTGAAGTCGTTCGAATCACGACAGAAAGAGCTTAAATATGATATATAACTGAACCCAGTCCGAGAATTTTTTGTGGTACCCGATTTTGCGTGGAAAACAAAGACATTGCCAACATAGAAAAAAAACTGATTTATTTTTTAAAAAAACTTTAAATTAGATTTAAAAAAATTTTAGGAAAAGTCTTAAATAGATTTTAAAACGTTTCCTGAAAAAAAACGAAAAAACATCACGACCTACATAAGAGTTTCAACTACGTTCAACGAGTTTTTCTCAACAACGGGAAAAAAAATTAATAATTTTACATGTCGTTAGAATCACGACAGGAAGGACCTTATTTTGATATATACCTCGACCCATTTACGATTATTTTTTGAGGTAGCTGATAATGCGAGGAAAACAAAAAAAGAATAAAAACTAAAACACATAAAAAAATATATAACGCTTGAACTATTGGTTCCCAGTAAAACTTTATAGTTCGCGCTAAAACGGCATTAGTTCGTCAACTACGCCAGACATAAAAACGGCTCATTATAAAATTAAACTAACTCATCTCAAATGAAGCACAGACAAAAATTTGCACTTCGCATACAAAAGCAAATAAGGACAGCCGGTCGCTGAGCAAGTACAACAGAATGTTCCGACCACATTCTCAGGAAAATTCTTTTTTTCTTCAAGTTAGTGTCTTTTCTTGTGAGATGATAGAACTATAAGAACACGTATAAATTTAAAAATTTTTGCACTTAAAATTGAAAATATTATTTCAGGTTTTTTTTGTCAAAGAAGCGCTAAATGAAGCTTCTAAAACTAGTGTTTTAAACTAAAATCAAGTTGTTTTTTTGCCTAAATTGCTATTTTTCATATATGATGAACGTTACTCGATCGCTTTACTTGCTCGAAAATAGACGAAAAACAAAAAGCTTCAAACCGTTTTCTCTCGACACAGGAAAAAAATTTTGAAGTCGTTCGAATCACGACTGAAAGAGCTTAAATATGATATATAACTGAACCCAGTCCGAGAATTTTTTGTGGTACCCGATTTTGCGTGGAAAACAAAGACATTGCCAACATAGAAAAAAAACTGATTTATTTTTTTAAAAAACTTTAAATTAGATTTAAAAAAATTTTAGGAAAAGTCTCAAATAGATTTTAAAACGTTTCCTGAAAAAAAAAACGAAAAAACATCACGACCTACATAAGAGTTTCAACTACGTTCAACGAGTTTTTCTCAACAACGGGAAAAAAAATTAATAATTTTACATGTCGTTAGAATCACGACAGGAAGGACCTTATTTTGATATATACCTCGACCCATTTACGATTATTTTTTGAGGTAGCTGATAATGCGAGGAAAACAAAAAAAGAATAAAAACTAAAACACATAAAAAAATATATAACGCTTGAACTATTGGTTCCCAGTAAAACTTTATAGTTCGCGCTAAAACGGCATTAGTTCGTCAACTACGCCAGACATAAAAACGGCTCATTATAAAATTAAACTAACTCATCTCAAATGAAGCACAGACAAAAATTTGCACTTCGCATACAAAAGCAAATAAGGACAGCCGGTCGCTGAGCAAGTATAACAGAATGTTCCGACCACATTCTCAGGAAAATTCTTTTTTTCTTCAAGTTAGTGTCTTTTCTTGTGAGATGATAGAACTATAAGAACACGTATAAATTTAAAAATTTTTGCACTTAAAATTGAAAATATTATTTCAGGTTTTTTTTTGTCAAAGAAGCGCTAAATGAAGCTTCTAAAACTAGTGTTTTAAACTAAAATCAAGTTGTTTTTTTGCCTAAATTGCTATTTTTCATATATGATGAACGTTACTCGATCGCTTTACTTGCTCGAAAATAGACGAAAAACAAAAAGCTTCAAACCGTTTTCTCTCGACACAGGAAAAAAATTTTTAAGTCGTTCGAATCACGACTGAAAGAGCTTAAATATGATATATAACTGAACCCAGTCCGAGAATTTTTTGTTGTACCCGATTTTGCGTGGAAAACAAAGACATTGCCAACATAGAAAAAAAACTGATTTATTTTTTTAAAAAACTTTAAATTAGATTTTAAAAAATTTTAGGAAAAGTCTTAAATAGATTTTAAAACGTTTCCTGAAAAAAAACGAAAAAACATCACGACCTACATAAGAGTTTCAACTACGTTCAACGAGTTTTTCTCAACAACGGGAAAAAAATTTAATAATTTTACATGTCGTTAGAATCACGACAGGAAGGACCTTATTTTGATATATACCTCGACCCATTTACGATTATTTTTTGAGGTAGCTGATAATGCGAGGAAAACAAAAAAAGAATAAAAACTAAAACACATAAAAAAATATATAACGCTTGAACTATTGGTTCCCAGTAAAACTTTATAGTTCGCGCTAAAACGGCATTAGTTCGTCAACTACGCCAGACATAAAAACGGCTCATTATAAAATTAAACTAACTCATCTCAAATGAAGCACAGACAAAAATTTGCACTTCGCATACAAAAGCAAATAAGGACAGCCGGTCGCTGAGCAAGTACAACAGAATGTTCCGACCACATTCTCAGGAAAATTCTTTTTTTCTTCAAGTTAGTGTCTTTTCTTGTGAGATGATAGAACTATAAGAACACGTATAAATTTAAAAATTTTTGCACTTAAAATTGAAAATATTATTTCAGGTTTTTTTTTGTCAAAGAAGCGCTAAATGAAGCTTCTAAAACTAGTGTTTTAAACTAAAATCAAGTTGTTTTTTTGCATAAATTGCTATTTTTCATATATGATGAACGTTACTCGATCGCTTTACTTGCTCGAAAATAGACGAAAAACAAAAAGCTTCAAACCGTTTTCTCTCGACACAGGAAAAAAATTTTTGAAGTCGTTCGAATCACGACTGAAAGAGCTTAAATATGATATATAACTGAACCCAGTCCGAGAATTTTTTGTGGTACCCGATTTTGCGTGGAAAACAAAGACATTGCCAACATAGAAAAAAAACTGATTTATTTTTTTAAAAAACTTTAAATTAAATTAAAAAAATTTTAGGAAAAGTCTTAAATAGATTTTAAAACGTTTCCTGAAAAAAAACGAAAAAACATCACGACCTACATAAGAGTTTCAACTACGTTCAACGAGTTTTTCTCAACAACGGGAAAAAAAAATTAATAATTTTACATGTCGTTAGAATCACGACTGGAAGGACCTTATTTTGATATATACCTCGACCCATTTACGATTATTTTTTGAGGTAGCTGATAATGCGAGGAAAACAAAAAAAGAATAAAAACTAAAACACATAAAAAAATATATAACGCTTGAACTATTGGTTCCCAGTAAAACTTTATAGTTCGCGCTAAAACGGCATTAGTTCGTCAACTACGCCAGACATAAAAACGGCTCATTATAAAATTAAACTAACTCATCTCAAATGAAGCACAGACAAAAATTTGCACTTCGCATACAAAAGCAAATAAGGACAGCCGGTCGCTGAGCAAGTACAACAGAATGTTCCGACCACATTCTCAGGAAAATTCTTTTTTTCTTCAAGTTAGTGTCTTTTCTTGTGAGATGATAGAACTATAAGAACACGTATAAATTTAAAAATTTTTGCACTTAAAATTGAAAATATTATTTCAGGTTTTTTTTGTCAAAGAAGCGCTAAATGAAGCTTCTAAAACTAGTGTTTTAAACTAAATCAAGTTGTTTTTTTGCCTAAATTGCTATTTTTCATATATGATGAACGTTACTCGATCGCTTTACTTGCTCGAAAATAGACGAAAAACAAAAAGCTTCAAACCGTTTTCTCTCGACACAGGAAAAAAATTTTGAAGTCGTTCGAATCACGACTGAAAGAGCTTAAATATGATATATAACTGAACCCAGTCCGAAAATTTTTTGTGGTTCCCGATTTTGCGTGGAAAACAAAGACATCCCCAACAAAGAAAATACAGATTTATTTTTTTAAAAAACTTTAAATTAGATTTAAAAAATTTTAGGAAAAGTCTTAAATAGATTTTATAAAGTTTCCTCAAAAAAAACGAAAAAAAAAACATCACGACCTACATAAAAAGTTTCAACTACGTTCAACGAGTTTTTCTCAACAACGGGAAAAAATTTTCAACAATTTTACATGTCGTTAGAATCACGACTGCAAGGACCTTATTATGATATATACCTCGACCCATTCCGATTATTTTTGAGTTAGCTGATAATGCGAGGAAAACAAAAAAAGAATAAAAACTAAAACACATCCGAATACAAATTTCCTCCCCATTTTCAATGGTCCGAACAATAATACAAAAACTTTGTAACGATTGAAATGAAACAAAAAAATCGACGCTCATTTCTTATTGAATATTGAAGCTACCCATGGGACTGGACCGTTCTCTTTCTCATCTTAACTAACTGTAGCTTGTCTTAATTCACCTCACCACATCTTAATCAATCTATCAAATTGCTCATCCGTCAACATCAAAACAAGACGGCCTACATTTCTCCGAGTTTAAATTTGCGAGCCGCAAGTGTTAAAAGATGAACCTCGCGATATGAAGCTACACTTGGCTTGCGTGGTCAGAAGATAGACACACAATATAAAGACATCTCTACAACTCATAGGCACCTGATGATGAGACACTTAGTCAAAGCCGTCTCGATGTACCCTCGAATTTTTCACTCGAGCGACGCTGAAGTACTACGTGGTAAATTTGGTCACACTTGAATCGCTTTGTTCTGCTGAATCTACACCCGCTTTAAACGTCATGCAAAATCGAAAAATCGTAACTTTGAAAACAGTCAACTATTGTGTGGACAATTCAAAAACATTCGAGCTAATGAAAGTGTTTGACAGTTCAATACTTTCAATGCACGTTTTTAACTAGTTGTTACTTACCACCTTAAGCATTTGTACCAAACAAAATACAAAAACAATATACATAGATGTCTCAACGAACTATTACGTTACAGACAGTATCTAAGTCGCTTGTATCACATGGTATTGTATTTAAAATTCCACCTGGCTAATCTTGAATTTAGTAACCGTCAATTTCGAACTACGTTTTTAACTATTATATCTTTTCCCACATTTATCCTGTATCAAACCATTACACATCTTAGAAACAATTCTCCAGCTTTAGTCAAAACTTCTTCGAAATTCGCTTCAGAATTAAATAGCTTGAAGCAAAGGAATTTTTACTTCTTATGCTTATACTTACAGGCGACTTTTGAAAACAAACTCTTGACTGAGCCCGGTTGTACAAATAGTTTGACCTACAAAGCCCCGAGACACAAGATCGATTCTCACATTAAACGTTTATGTTAGAATCTAGAATCGACAGGTCGCATAAACAATCTTAAAATTTAACCTGGTCATTTCTATTCATGACCTCAAGCTGGGAGCTGTCAAAAAATTACAGAATTCATTTTTTGCTTCTTTTCTCGTTCATTTCTCTAAGTTAAATTCAAACACTTGTCACATTATCAAAGAATTGACGTCTGTAACATTGCAGCTTATTTAAAATTGACGCAAGTTTTCGAAGCCAAAATTATTTATTCACAATTAGCCAAATTTTCAGAACCCCAAAAGTGACTATAGACTTTCCTGACACATTCACACTTTCAACGCATTTTATGGACATATGATAATGGATGGAAATATTGAAAAAAGTAGTGGATCCTCGCGTAGTTTGCCTCGGCCGGACGAGGTTCGAATCTGGGTGGGAGACAAAGAGAAGTCCATTTCGGGAGTTAGCGAGAGCACTACTTGTTTGGATGTTGTACACTCTCTTCTTAAGCACTCCAAGATAGCGAATGTGAAGACCATCCAAGAACACACGATTTACCAGAGATGGCCAGAGTATAACAGACAGCTGCAGAGTATGTTTTATTTACAAAAATCAAAGCCCGACGATACTTTGATCAATAACTAAAATCCCAATTGCCTTCATGGTCAATTCCCTAACTATGATTTACTGATCTTACATTTAGGGTTCATCCATAATGACTCATTTGGAAAACTTTATAAGAGGATTTTCTAGAAGCCCAATCAGAAAAACCTGATTCCATATTGGTAAAACTCTGAAATTGGTCGTTGCTTCATATTGGTTTCACGTACACGCAAACATTCTTCTTGACAAAACCAATTATCCTGATTTAACAAAAACTTGAAGGGGTTTCAAAAAAATTTTTCATACTTTTAGGTCGACCAAAATGCGTTCCAAAGTCGGCCAAAACCTTATAAAGACAATATTATGGCCAAGAAATTTCTGTGCCTCAGAAAATTTTGAAAAAAAAACTCAGGGCAAAATAACCAATTCCGATTTTTTGTCTAGACTTTTTTGTTGCGCACTGCCCTCTCAAAATAAGCATAATCGCTTTTGAAAAATGTTAGGTTCGGAAGTTCGGCCGAATATGGATGCCACAAATAGTACCAAAGGTGACTCCTTCGGGTGGTGAAGGCTTCAATCCCCTAGGATCTCCCCGCCCCGAAATCCACCCCTAGTAGAAATAAAAGTACATTCTACTTGCAAACAATTTGCTATAAGAGTTGCACTTGAAGTAAAAAAAAAACAACTCCTGACAACAAATTGATATACCAGCTGCATATGAATAAAAGGATCGGAAAGTGACTTAAGTTGATGCTGTAAGAACAAAAATTCATCTAAATTATTCAATAATCCCAGACTTTATGGAACTGTATATCAGCTAATTTGTATTTCAGGCCACGTGAAAATTCTGAACGAGTTTAAAAAATGCCAACAAAAAGGAGTTACTTTCCACATGCAAAAAATTCATAATACTTCGACCACCAACAGCAGCAGATATGGAAATTCTAATATATCTTGGAATAGTGGCGGGGGGAATAATAACTCTAACAATGGTACAATAAAAAACAGAGCAGGGACATTTTACTTAAGCAGCAGCGTTGGCGGCAACAGAAATACGTCTGAAGAAAGTTCTCCAGTTGAGAGCAGAAAACAGCGTTTCAAGCGGTCTCGGTCACGAGACAGAAATTTATCTGAAACCAGTTCGCCACATGAAACATTTTCACAAGTTATTTCACAGCCAGTTAGTGGAAATAAATACATAAATATTGACCAAAACTACGGACAAAAACAGTCAAACTATTCGCCGGAGGCACAAATTCAGTCAATACGTCAGTTGCAACAGTACACCAAACGGTCATCTAAACAAAGTAGAGACGGTTCCGCTGACAGAGAAAAGAGCAATAATAAAAATAGCAACAATAGAAGAACAAGAAACCAACGAATACGGAGCCGACATAGTCGGAGTTTAGAAACTAGTAGAAGGAGGTCTCTCGATACACTAGTTGACTTCAAACCAGAAGACTTCGAGTTCAATTCTGGACATCAAAACAACGCGACTAGTCAAGCGAACGAACGTATCGCTTCACGAAATTCAAAATCTCCCGAAAGAGATTTTTCCATTGCGAAGTCTCTGAGTTTCAGAAATCTTCTTGCCGAAGAAACCGAAAAAATATTCCAACAGCCTCACTTTCAATCTAAATTATCTCAGTTTCAAGACACCGATCATAAGTTAGGAGGCGTCAGGCGTCAACGCGTGCATTCCGCAAACGACTTAGTTGATCTTATTGACGATTTTAATTACAGTAATGGAACATTAAAAAACAGAACAAATGACAATTTAACAGCTCCAGATTCAAAACACACTAAAATTAATAGCGATTATTTGAACACAAAGGATGCAAGTAATTATTTGAATGACAAAAATTATACTTTAAAATCTGATAGCGCAGCAAAAGGCAGTGCAGTTGTTAAGAATTCAATCAATAAACAAATCATACATCAATCTGAAGACACTCTGAGAGAAATCAAAGACAATATCAATCCATCGGTCGGCAGTCACAGGTTGGACGACAGAACCAACACGCGTGACGAGCAAACAAGGATGATGGATTTTAATAAAAGCCAAGACAAAAAACAGGAAGCACATTTCTCTAATCATTCATTGTGCTCATCAAGCCAAAATCAACACCAAAAGCACATCGATTTAAGCTCACCTAATATCGCTTCCATTAGAAAGGAAATCTATCATTATCAGCAAACAGTATTAGCTTCACCGACGCGCGTAACAAACCATTCTCCAAAACCATTACCAAAGCGGAGAAAAAATTCTCTTTTGCAAAAACAACGTGAGCAAAGAAACAACGGTAAGTCTGTAGTACCATATTCAAACCAACCTGCTTTACCATTGACGCCCAAGGAAGTTATAGGCAGAGACCTAGAAGAGAAATTGGAATTAGAAAGGTGCAAGAAAAACGTTGGGATGCAATGCACTGAATTATCCAGCCTCCAAGAACGAATTGACAACGTTGAGAAGCAGTTATTCTATTTAGCTCAGACTAGTTTCGCCGAAGACAGTTTACGCGACAACTTCCGGGAAAAGAACAACTCATCCCAAGATTCTACACGAACCGAAAGCCCACATTTAAAATCTTCAAAGCAACGAGGACTTAGCAACTCGCCGCTACGAAAAGATAAAAAGCACGATTCGTCTACGCTGCAAAAGGAGATCAAACGGTATTACGAGAAATCTAAAAAGGTTACTGACCAAATTTTGAACCAGAAACTTTTAGAATCAAGGCTTCAAAATGAGATCAATGAAAGAAGGAAAAAGTTAACCTGTCCAAAATGCAAAATAGTTTATCGAAACCGCAAATGTCTTTGTATGCTAAATAACGAATTAGAACAGTCCAAGTCGCAAAGCGAGTTGATTGACAAAGAATCTAAAAATGTTGAAACTCAAATTGCACAAGTCGAACAAGATATCATCAAGCATAAAATGAGAATTCAACGGTTGGAATATGAAATTGACTGCCACGAGCGAAAGTCGTTAGAAGAGCAGAACTCTCAAAGCTATGCTGGGCGACCACCTAGGGTTCCCTTGGGATCCCAGCCCTCTGTTGATAATTTCAACTCTACACCCCATCTCAATCCGCAATTCAGTCCGTACAAAAACACACCTCGCGATCGAGTTAGAAGCGCCGATAGCTCCATGTACAAAAGCCGGCTTCGAACATTTCCAAATAGGGGACTGAACGAACAGGCTGAACTGAGATCATCAGAACCTCTGCAACAACAAGACAGGGTTCTCAGGAGGCGAGCTGAGACAGACTCGGACACAGGGTTGGGTTCCATGAGCACCGAAGAAGATTCGAATCCCAACGGGACCCATTTAGTCATAGCCAAAACTGCCCAAATTGTTATTTAACACGAAAGCAACTCACAATCTATTTGTATTTCAGTCAGAATTTATTTTTACTTCAATTACATTTTCAAGTAGCATCTTCTGTATTAAAAATAACGCTCAACAAGAGATAACATCAGTATTACAGGCAATAGACAGAACAAACTGTAAATTAAAACTGAGCTGTGATTTTGTACCAACATTTATAATTTTAAGGAACGCTGTATTCATATTTTAAGAGCTGGCACATTAAAATCCAGAACTAATAACCTCATGCTGGCTTGATCTGTAAAACAGCCCTGTAGTGTTTGCCTAAAGCTAAAACTGCATAATCCGATGAACACACGTCTTCAATTCGTGCTTCATGAGATGAAATTTTGGCCCCATTGATCTTCACTGTGCCACCTTTCTTCGAAAAGTCTTCGGCTGTCTAAAATACATCATGTTTGGTTTATGAAGTGAAGGTTGCATTTTCTGCCACTGAAGTCAAATCTGTCACAAAAATCTACTATTTATGTAGTAGAGATGAAGCTGCATTTTTCAAACACAAGCGAGAAAACGGTATAAGTGAACTCTATAAAGATCAAAACAATGAAAGTAAAACCAACAAAAATTCTGCTGCGTGCCGGAATCGAACACCATAAATTCGAAATTAAAAGTCTCGCGTCCAAACATCTGCACCGCCTTCGCTTCATAATTGTCAAACACTAGCCATTAATAAACCAGATACAAAGGTATTATGCGAAGCAGCAGAAGTAAACCAGACCTAATACTATAACTGCAAAATTCTCATCACATAAATGAGCACTTATTTGCTACGTGGTTTTGGAAAAAAGTGAAATTTGTAATATGACACTAAGCTCAGCTTTTCTTAACAACGAAACGAATTGTTTGCAAATGGATATCGGTTGCGACTGTTTGAATTCGACAGGCTGCAAAAAACGATCTCCATGTGATAGAAAGCACCGATCACAAAACCGGGTTCTACTATATCAAAAACAACTCTCCATTTTTAAAACCCCAAAAGACTCGAGGCTTCGTCCGGCCGAATTTTGATAATTCTGGTGCTCGGTTTGAGCATGTCGGACGGGCCGTATTTGTTATAAAAAAAACAACAAAAAATACTTTTTCAATTTAAGTTCTAACTCTCGCGCGATATATCTGGCCAACTTTCACCCAATATAGACCTAGACAAAGCAAAAAATAGGAGGCCCAATAAAATTTAAAAATCACTGACAAATGATGAAATTACAAGATTAATTATTACACGGAGATAAAGTTGCACTTCGCAAACAATCAAAACTTCAAAAAAATGTAATTAAAAAGGCAAAAAATTGCTAAGATAAGTCTACAAAAGCTTGCAAAAAAGTTATCTGACTAACGGATTCGGGCCCTTGAACTCTGGTAACGAGTCATAAAAGAGGAACCAATTAAACCGAATTAATAAAGCGAATGAAACATGCTTACTAAAATGCTCGCACTAAAACACGCGTTTATCAAAAAAAAATTTTTACCCCACAGGATACCATTTTAGGAAACTGATTTTCAACTGCATCTAAATTTTAAAAGAAATCCCAAAAATAGAAAAAAAACAGACCCGAAAATACTAAGTTAAACTCATTAAAATACTTTAGGGCAAGAAATCCATGTTTATGGCCGGGCTATTGAGAAAAAAAGAACCGCAGAATCTTTTGAAAGCAAATTTTGTAGCATATAAACCGAAAAATTTGAGCTCAAAGAAACGAAGCCAGAAATTGCGGCTATTGAGAAAAGAAAAACCGCAGAATCTTTTGAAAGCAAATTATGTAGCATTTAACCCGAAAAATTTGAGCTCAAAGAAACGAAGCCAGAAATTGCGGCTATTGAGAAAAGAAAAACCGCAGAATCTTTTGAAAGCAAACTATGTAGCATTTAACCCGAAAAATTTGAGCTCAAAGAAATGGAGCCAGAGAAAGAGAAAGCTTCAATTTGACCAAGCGGCGACAATTAGCCGAAAGTGTTAATTAGTTGCAGGCGATATTTAGTATCATTTCAAGAATCGACCATAAAAGGGCAAAAAATTCAGAATACACAACCTTTAAAAATTTAAAAAACTTTTAGCTTTACCGCCCAGCTACTAAGCCGGCAAAAGTGGGTAGACGCCCATTGAGCCAAAAAAATCTCCAACAATTAAATTTTAAATTTTGCAACCCAAACTACCTGATTTTAAAAAAAAATTATCAATTTTTCCATTTGAAGCGACACAAAACAAAGCAATTGAAATGATAAACAAGTCGAAAACATTCATGCCGACTAAAATTTTTCAGCGAAAAAAAAAGGAAAACCACGGAAAATATACAACGTCGGGGCTATTATTTTTTTACAAATTACAAGAGTAAATCAAAAACAATTGCATCTACGATGAAAATTACTGGCAGCACAAAATATTTACCAGGTTTGACAACAAAGCCGACAAAAAAATAAGCAGACAATCGAAAGTACGATTCAAACTTTTTCCGGAAAATTTTCAATTTTATATATACTCAAAAAAATAGGATCCGGTCAGGAGTCGAACAACAGAATTAAGCCAAGTGGGAAGTCTCGAAGTTGCTAAAGTTCACTATAAAAAGCAATTTCACAATTTCTTACAGTGTTACCTGTACTTACCGTCTTACCAGTAAGAAAAGTTGTTTACGGGAAAGAAGTCTAGTTCCCGCTCTGGCAAAAGTTAATAATAATTCCCAAATGAATTGATTTAGCAAAACACAGTGTGTGGGACTCGATATTGAAGGTTTCACAGAAACATTAAGCAAAAATCTAGATTCAATTGCCATTCGAATATTAACAATTTTACAAATCACCATTTCAAATTAGACCTTTCAAAATGAATTTTTGGCATCTTTACGATTGAAATGACATTTTAAATTTGTTTCAAAACAATGCGTAAAAGGCGCTCCGCTTGAAAAAGGAATGAGAGAAGTGAACCTCCTAGACCAAAAATTTTAAAAAAAAACGAGCAAGTGCATCGAAGTTTTTGTAGAAAGAAAGAAACCACACGAGCTAACAACTGTGTTCATTGCGAGTTACACGTCGAAAGATGGAACAAAATATCAAACTTGCCTCAATCGCTGTGAAAAAACTAGTTCTGCTGAGACATTCAACAATCGAAAGGTCTCTTGATACTGACACAATCTCTGCATTTTTCAACACATCTTTCAAACACTTCTCATCGACATCGTCCAAAGATGGTTTCTTCGAATGCAACAAGGACGTCACTGACTCGGCATCTCTTAAATCTTTTTCACCGTGAACAAACTGGACCACCTTTTTGGCCAAACATTTCTGAACCGATCTCACATCTGTGCTATTTAAAATGTCTTGCAGTTCTTTATCGTCCAAAAAAGTTAAAGAATTTGCCATCTGAGGCGACTCGGAGTCACTTCGCTGCAAAAAATACTGATAGAGAGCGTAAGGCGAGGTTAAATTTTTGTCAAGCCAAATTTTGGACGAGACTGATGAGCTAGTTTTGCCCATTTTAGATGCTCCCGAAAGAAGAAGAGGGGTTGTCAGAGATAGAGTTCGGATTCCTTTTGAAGATTTTAAAAACTCATAGCCTCCCAGCATATTTCCCCACTGATCTGATCCTGAAAAGACAGAAAAAAGTTCAGCAAAAGAAGTAGCAAAACAGCTGGACGGAAACTCATTTTAGTAATCTGATATGCACTGAATTCTCCTGTTTTCTGTTCATAAGAAGTTTTCAGCAACTCCAAACCAGTGATTGTTTCTAAGATCCATGGTTTGTAAAATTTTGTGGAGTCCGTGGTGTTTATTTTTTTGAATTCTGCAGCTTTCAACTTTTTGGTATAAAGCGGAAATTTTGTAAATTAACACCTCCTACTTGTGCTCTGCAGTTGTATCTCTCATAGAGCTGTTGGAAGTCGAAGGCCTGCAGGAACTGGTAGAAAAACTCTGCAAGATTCAACCTGGCTCCACTATTCAGTCGATCTTTCACGAAACTGAGTGAAAGCATGTGACTCACGCTCATGAATCGGGCATGCTGAGACAGAAAGGGAACTAAATTTTCATTGTCGTACCATTCCAGATTATTCACAATTCTCAATTCGCCATAGCTTTCCATCTGCATTTGGCTTTTAAATCGCTCGTCCAGATGAACTATTTGTCGCTCCAATTTCTCTGCGTTTGCAGTTAAGTAGTCAACTGAGAGCTTCTCGCGTTCGTCCTTTTTATCACTCGGATCGCCTATTTTAGCAGTGGCGCCACCTATCAAAACAATAACCGGGTAGCCAAGTCTTCTCAGATGGAAAAGAGCCATCAACGGAAACAGATGGCCTAAATGAAGCGAAGGGCCAGTTGGGTCTATGCCACAGTAGATTGACCATTTCTGGGATGAATCCAAATCTGACACCAAATCTGGAGTTAATGGATCCGGCAACTGCTGGGAAAACAGGTTTCTGGACTTCAACGCTGCCAGACGACTCGAAAACATACATCGTTTACATGTAGGTGCATAAAAGTGAGGTGTTCTCAAAATGCAACGGAATGACTTCAGATACATTTCATCTGAAAGAGAAATCAAGATCCTTCATGATTGGCAGGGCAAAAAACATAAGTCAATTATCATTTCTTCTTTCTTTTTCGAAGAAATTTGACAATGTTTTTGAACGAGCCAAGCGAATCATAACAGTAAACAATGAAAAGAAGAAGTATTTCAGTCAAGCGTCAAAGCGAGCCTTGTTTGCTTTCCAGTGCTTCTTCACTGGTTCGTGGCTCGCTTCATCGACTACCATCATCCTGCGACTGGTGTTTGCATACAACACACCACCCTTCGCATCTCCACTCGGAAGGCCAGCCACTGCCGCATCAGAAGAAGACTCAGTCTAAATACGAGCAGAAAAAAAAGTTTAATACAGCGTTTAATTAAAACGTGTTTGAACTACAGCAGCATGAAAAATGACTGAACGACTGAAATTTGTGTTACAACATGCTTTGCTTCTTAATCGCCAAGAGCATTTCTTTGCAGTCATTAAAACAGACGGTCATCCGAGCTACCTTTTTGGACCATAAAAATACACCAAATTGGTGCAATGATTTTCAACGGTTTTCCAGAAAAGCTTCAACTTGCTGAGCGCACTAAACCTGCAACTCACCAAGGTGAGATTTGTGTGGGGGTGGGGGGGGGGGGGGGGGGGTAGGACATAGGACTGACGCCTTTCTCTCCGGGATTTACCCCCTAGCCTTCACCATCCAAAGGCTCCCTATTTTTCGACATCATTTTCGACCAACCGACGCCAAATTTTTTCCAATATATAATCATTTTAAGAAGCGCGCTTCAAAAAAGCAATTTTTGGTCAAAACAACCCAACAAATGACCAAAGGAACTTTATTTGAAAATTTATTTCATTTGAAACTGATTTTGAAAATCCCCTCGCTAAAATCCTAGATCTGCTCCTGCAGCAAAATATTGTAGAATATTTCGAGGATATCGAGGTTACTATGATTTTTCTGAATTGCTTTAAAATAACTAAATGCAGGGTACACCTTCAATGGTCATTTAAAATGGCATTAATCTACCCTCTTCGTTTGAATACACGTTGCTGGATGAAAACTAGAAAAACTTGCATAAACTTGATAATCTTTGGATATTTTATCATAATTCTACGTTTCAAAAAATAAAATCTCACTCTTTGTTTCTTTCTGAAGAAAAAATGAAATTTCATCTTACCTTATTTTCAGCAGCAGCAGCATTTGGAGGATTGAGAGTGGTGGCGAATTCGTGTAGGAAGTCGAACTGTGCATGTGAGAGGAAGTTACTGTAGAGAACTCCGTCTGAAAAACTCATCTTCCCAGTCTCCATCTCCCACAGATACAGTTGGTCCACCACTGTCGGGGGAAACACAGAATTGCCAGCCTGCAAACAAACTTAGCTCAAATATAAATCAACAAACATATTCTCGGAACCAGTCTTCAAACACAACTCGAGCCGAGCCTCTTTCTTAAATAAGCACAGCACGTACATGAATACCAATTGCACGGCCAAGAAAAAAATCTACAAACTCCCCAAAATAGTTTAACAGAAGATAGAGGAAAGAAAATTGAAAATTCACCTGCGGATGTAGGTGTGATAGAAGGTAGTGTAAGATCTTGTCGGCCGATATGCCCATTAGTAGTGACTCTCTGATACTTTCCCGCGTGATCACACAACAAATACAGCCTGGAAATCGGTAAGAGATTGTGCTAAACATCGCGATGAGCGCCGCATGCAGATCTGAATCAGTGTATGCGTAAATCCTGAAGTTAGATTCCACCACTATGAAACCATCTTTGTTGCGTTTGTTTTCTCGAAAATACTGCGAAATGTCTTTTTGATTTCCAAGAGAAACAGACGCTTGGGATCCTTTAATGAATGATATCGCAAGGTTTGTAGGATAAAATCGGCCATCGCGTCTTTTACGCATGTAAACTAGTCCAAGTTCTCTTAAAAACTGGACAAAATTCATCACTGTTTCGGACAAATTGTCGCTGGAGTACTCTCTGCCAAAAACCGCTTGAGACATCTGAAGGAGAAAAGTCATAACCTCAATCAGCCTCTCTGGATCTCTGGCGTTTAGTCGAAGGAAGTACTGGGACAGAAAGTACCACACTTGGGCCGACGTCTCTTGAAGCAGAAACTGGAAACCACTCGCAGTCAAAGCAGGTTTGGAGGATTCTGTCAAGTCCAATTCAATCAGTCCACAAGATTTTAAAATTCCTATCGTTTCATCGCTTAGTTTTTCTCGACTCCCTTCTGAACCGACCATGAACTGCAGCAACGCTTCCCATCTTTCCGTTGCATATGTTGTCAAATTTGCTGCACTTCTTTGGGGTATCTTGGGATCCGGTTCCAGCACTGGCAGATCCCAGGGAGCCCCCATTCCGCCAACGGCTGATTTCAAACTAATTCGAAAGTCTTCGTTCATTATAACAGTTGGCGTCACGGACGATTTGCTGTCGAAAAACAACTTCAGTCTCTTCAAACGTGACAGATCTACTCCTGACACTGAGGTGAACCAAGCGTTGATTCCTGCTTCTGAGAAGGACTGATCCACAAACAGTAATCTCATCACAACAGTCTGCTCCTCTAGAGATAATTCTCTAAGCACAATTAGACAAACCGCAGGCTGACTGTACAAAGAGGATAAGACAGTACTGGTCAAAGACTGGAACAAATCCAGAAGAGAGCGAATTTGAAGATCCGCTGCTTTCACTCTCATATTTTCTGAAGAACACTGAACAATAAGTTATTTATTAATGAACAAAATAAAGCCCACCAAAACTTATCATGGCTTCAAAATCGCCCGTCTAATTTGTTCATCCAACATTTTTCTCCGTTTAACGTTAGTAACAAAATTCATGATGAAATATTGCTTCCAACATTCGGTAGAATGTGAGTTATCTTACCAAAATCAAGAGCCCTAACGAAACTTCCCAACGAATCGATTATGAATTCATTAGTAATTTTGGTAATAACTCCACATGAAAGAAATGGTATGCTTTGACAAAAGCTATCTTAACTTTTCCGTTAGTCAGGTTTGAATCATTGCCTAGATGAGCTTACATACGCCTGGAAAACGTTCGCGGCTCGTTTATCTCATGCTAGTTATTTTCTTTGAAAGACCGTTGGAAACTAAAACTCTTGACCATTGTTTCATTTGCACTTTTGCTAGAGTAGATTATAATTTGCCTTCCACTTGGTAGATGCAATTGAAGTGAATTAATATCAATTGACAACTCAACAAATTGTCAAGAAGAGCTATGGCTTGAATAAAGGACAATTCCCTACTTTCATCAACACCGAGCCCCAAAATAGCTAATGTTTCACACGTCCACGCCAGTAATCAAACACACCAAATCTAAATCACAGGGAATCACCGATTGTGCCAGGCAATTTCGGTTAAAGAATCTTCGAAGGGAATTTTGAAAAAATCCGTTATATTTTTAGCGGGCACAAGATAAAATAATTCTATTTTTTCAAAAGATTTGGTTCAGTTCATAAACTCCGTCCATCGTGGCGCATCGGTACTGATGGTGCTCAGCAATCAAATGATTGTGGGTTCAAAACGCACGTGCGCTGCTATTTAGAAAGTGAACTCTGCTAAGATCGCCATAGCTTCGTTAACCTTAAATAATTAATCTTCGGGCTGGTTAACTAAAAAATAACAGATGATTGGTGGGTTCGATACCACCATGTTCATCGTACCAAGAATAGATGATTCCTCTTCCTCAATCCCGCAAAAATGTCGCTTGCACTTAAATCGATTCAAAAGCTGGAATAAATGTCATACCACAGTCATTTAGAATAAAAATAAACCAAAGAAAACATGTTTGATATTTTTTTTGAGAAAGAAAGAAAAAATTTATATATCCAGTATCATATTAAAGCAAAAATTGGCTCTTTTCCAGTTTCCCCCCTTTCAAATTCAATTTTGAAAAGTCTATTTAACGTTGTCATAATGCAATGAAATTTGGCGTGGTGAACAAATCGACAATTCTGAACAGATTTGTTCTTCATACTTTACAGCGTAACATCACTTGCTTAGCCGTAATAACACGTAAATCAAACATAAAACTCGGTATTTTGAAGGGGGGACTGGAAAAGAGCCCAAAAATTCTACCAAAAAACATTTAAATTCATTTTGAAATAAATTTGAATATCAACACATTTAATTAAATGAAACTGAATATGATAGACTAAAGGTGCAATGAGCGCCTCATGATGGTCTACCCGTCAAGTATAAAAAAAGAAAAAGAAAAAAAAACAATAAAACTCGAATTGGAGCGCTCATTTTTAGTAACTTTATTCAGACCAGTAGAATGCGCAATGATATCATCACCGACAGATCTAAATGATGCTACATTTTCAAGAAATCAGTTTAGCAAAAAAAAATTCAATGAAAATTTTGGGATTTTTGAAAAAACCAAAAACTTTAAGGATTTGGATCGTTTTCTCGGGCTACGATTGCAACGCTGGAATGGATATCTAATAGCATTTAAGTCAGACCAGTTTTTTTTTAATAAACCAATAATTTTGTCAAGCGTCTGGGCGACTTTAAAGCGCAAGAGTGTAATTTTAAAATCAATAAAGATAATTTTAAAGTTGTAGTACCGTTAAAATTCTAGTGGCAATATCAGCCTCCCATCAATTTTGTTAATTTAAATTGAAAATGACCTTTTTTAAAAACAAAAATTGAAATCCGAGTCACGATGAAATAGGGCTGCCATAACATACCAACATTTGAGTTGGACGGGAAACAAAGCCCAGCGACATAGTTGCTTCCAACCCCCTAATTAACAAGTTAGTCAGAGGAGAACTTATTCCCCTATTTAGGAGCGTTCCCTAAACTCAAATACAAAATTTTTCAGAAAAATTTTGGGTACTGTGATATTCTGTCGGAAGGAAAAACAAAACAAATCGCAAGTATTTTGGCAAAAAACAATCCTAAACATTGGAAGCAATTTTGAAATTAATGCCGCAATGAGAACGATTGAACCGCGTTCATAAATTCGCGCTCAAAAACAGTAATCAAAATGACGATAAGAATTAGTTGAATGGAACGAATGTCATGCGAAGACCCATCATTACAATTTTAGTGTATCATTTATCTTTTAACCCCAAAATTTGACTCAAGGTGGCACAATGATTATTTCCTTTTAACATCTCTATAAGGATTATGAGCTTTATAAAAAGTGTATCCATTAGTTTTTGCTTCAAAGTTTATTAGCATTTGAACCATGGTGATCAATATTCGATATATTACAAAGCAACAATTATAAGTATGTTTCAATTTTTCTACCTTAAATATCCAGAAAAAAAATCATCCACGGGTATGGTGGTTTCTTTCTGATAGATTGTGAGACATCTGTCTGAGGACATATAGGTGACAAACATGTACATATATTTATTCAATTCAGAGGCGAAGCAGAACTTCGAAGCACATGCGATACACAAAAATGTGACAGTATAAAGCGTATAAGAATCAGATACAAAACAGCGACGTATTTCCAACTTTTCAAAAGACCGAAAAACGACAAAATAGATAATACACTCTAGCCATTTTCTAAAGGGGAGTTGGGTGTTCCGCAGGGGTCAGTATTGGGATCATTGCTTTTCTTGTGATATATTAACGAACTTCCTGTTCAATTGAATTATTCGCAAGCTACTCTTTTTGCGGATGATACAGCTATTGTAGCAACTACAAAACAAGTTGCAGTGAGTTCAATTTTCAGGTTCGATAAAAAATGCGCAGATGAATGGTGCAAACTTCCAGAAGCTACTTCCAATTGCCTCTATATGAGTTTTGGCAAATCGGGTCCACCGATAGAGCTTAACATGGCATCGCAAAAAATTCACGAATGCAGTTATTTTAAATATTTTGGAGTTTCATTGATAAAAAACTGACTTTCGTGAATCAATTTGATCAAGTTGGCAAAGTTCAATGGTGTAGTCTATCGAGCGAGACATTTGTTTTAAAAGATATTATATCTCTAACGTTTTTCTATAATGATTACGCTAAATACGTTATAAGCTAAGAAATTCTGATTCAGGACCTTCGTCTTAGATGTCTCTAAGCAGAATTCATTTAATGCAAAACGAATTTAAGGAAATATTTTTTTCTAAACGAAAGTTTGATCGAACAAAATCGTATTTTCAGGAATACAACATTGATACTGTTTTAGAACTCTTTCTTGACCGAATTTTTACAGAGATGGTTATACAATATCTTGGAATATCTGTTTGTATACTACTTGATTTTGATTCCATCGAAAAGAAGCGAGAACTCGATAAAAAAAAGACTTATGAATCTGCCAGTAGTATGCACTGAAACTAGAAAGAAATCTTTAGGTATTTTTACTCATTAAAATGTACAATTTCCTGGCAAAGAATGAGCTACTGCCTGATAAATGATTGAAAACGCAAGTTGATCAACGCGATCTATACTTAAAACGCTTGAAAGAGAATTTCTTCAAAGATAACGAAACCTTGAGGCAACTGTATTTTTTACACTTGCAAGTTTTATTTGGAATTTTTTCCCTGCTATATTTCTATCGGTTTTCCTAGGGTATTTTATCAAAAGCAAATTGTGTCGCCCTAATGTCCTTGTGGGGCATTCACTATAACAAATTTGAATACTATTTAAAATGATGTATATCGATATTTTGCTATACTAAATAAACTATTGTATTGATTGCGTACATATTTGAACCACAGAGTCTTCTTTTCTCAGTAATGAGCGTAACTTCTACGCCACATATGCGGATTACTGCCTTGATTTTGATTTTATGAACAAGATGTAAGCCCGAGAAATGAACTAGATGTTAACCTGAAAAAATAAGTATAATACTCGCCAATCGCAAATGCAATTATGTAAACGTAGAAGAATAAAGATACGAATCATTCATAACAACCCAAGCAGATTCATAATTTTGGAAAAACAACCAAAGATAATCTTTCAATCATGATCTAACTTAATCCGACTGATAAGATATAAAACCAGAAGAACCAATTTGCCAGCTCGAAATTTCATTAAGCCAAGAAAACCATGAGCCATTAGCTTCTAACGATATAGAAACACCTCGAAAAGAACATTCGAGACGAAAACATATCAAACAGTGAAAAGTAAGACAGGCACAAATGGCTTTGATCACAGTCTATATTCCGACTTGTCTCAAATCTTTTTTCTGACATAATTTTTTATTAACCAAAATTTGGAATAACAAGTTTTTAGAATTGAGCAAATTTACAACGGAGGCGGTCTTGAGAAAAATCAAACCCTGTTGAACAGTGGAAAAAATTCAAACATTTTTTAAAGGCGCTCGCAATTTATTGCTTTCTTCTGAATAGAAGCAGAGGACAAAGACAAAATGCAAAACATAACTTCAAAAAATATAAATAATAAATAACAGATTATTTCGAAAAAATCAAAACCAAATTCAGCTTTTTGGAACGCAATTACTTACACAACGCCTGAATACATTAAAAACATTTTCGATTTTAGTGAAAAAACGTTGAAATTGAGGGAAAATTGTTCTGTCGATCAGAATTTGACAAACAAACAAGTCCGACGAAGATTTTTGTAATGCAAAATTTCACGTTTCTCGAAAAGCTTTACCAGAAAAAAAACAGGTCTCGGTGTGATTCGAACAATGCAGCTTTATGAACAAGAACAACCTGAAAAGAAAATCTCATTGTGTACGGATTTGCCAAGACTTGCGATTGCACGCGTAAAGATGTAAACC